TGAATGTTTTGGATCACTTCCTTGTCTTCTTTGCTGTTTACAAAACCCATTATTTTTGTTCGTTTCACTAGCTGATTGTGATCGGTAATAATTGGATGAAGTTCTCTGTGTGTGATAACAAACATTCAACAAGGCATACATGAAGATTGAGTTGTAACCACACACTTTTTCAAAGTTTCTACTCTCTGCTTCAAATCACCCTCCATGTTTGAACAATCCACAGCATCCAGTGCATCCAGATGCTTCTTGAGCTTAACCAAATCCCCTTTGTTTCCTCGCATAGTCTGTTGATCCACTTAACACTCCAGGATGGAATTATCTCTGAGATGCCCTCACCAAAACCATCTCCTCAAGTTCAATGACTCCATTGACAATACCCTCAATGCCTGGAATGCCAATGCCGGTCACAGCTGCTTTGCCTAGACGGAGTACCGGCCTTAAGAGGCTTTGTTCCGGTTTGAGCTTCCTGAGGGCCTGCTTGAGTTTGGATCCCGTTTGTGGGGGTGCTGTAGATGGAGCTTGTGAACCCGTTTGCGAGGGTGCTGTAGGTGGAGCTCGTGAACGCAGATGCGGGGGCATTGAGTGTAGAGGAGTGCAGCAAGAGATGTGGTGGTGAAGCTAGAGCAAGGAAGACACGAGGTGTTGCCAATCTTAACTCTAACAGCTCGAACGACGTTTTGATCAGTCAACCGGCGGTTTGCTGTCGCCGGAAAGATGCCTATGTCACTTCAGCCTATTTCCGAGTACACGTGTCCACCCTGTTTCCACGCTGTCTCATTCATTTCATTTATTTCTAGCCAAACTTTCCACTCTGGGTCTGTGGTAGATCGCGCCACCGTGGCACGGTATACGATATCCGTACCGTGAGCTATTTTGGCGCGTGCCGAGGAGGCCGCACGTATACGGTCTAAGTCCGTATCAAGCCGCACTTCGGCACGTAGGGCGCCGGCGCCATCTCCGTTCGGCGCCAGTTTATAGCGATCTGTTGGGAGTGATATAGATATCAACCATGCCGCGACGCGGCATCTGCCGATTTGTCCCTCGACGGCTGCCGCTACATATTTGGGCACCGACGGCCTTCGGATCGTGGCGGTACGCTCGCCCTCCCGATCGCACGCCCAATAAGGAAATGCAGGTGAGGTTCGTCGAGGGTGGATGGGGTGCACCTTATGTGGGAGTAGAAGGTACCAAATGTCCCCGCGACGAAGTTGGGGGTTTTTCGGCTGTTCTGAACATTGAACACCGCTGCAATTCGGTGGGTCAACAGATTGCTGGCACTGATTTGTACCATTTGCCAGTTTAGAGCGGTGACCGTGACGATCAGCCGAGCGCAGGCCATAAACGTCGGCATTTGACGGAACCGAAGCCTCCTAAGCCAAAATGCCGTGAGCACTTCGCGCCATCGGCACGCTCTTGGCCATATATATCCAGGCCCGGGCTTGAGAGGCCTGGCGGGCCTGCCGTGTAGGCCGCGCGGCTACAACTTTGAAACCCTCGCTTTATGGGGAGCGGCGGTTTCACAAGTTTCCTTTGAGTTAAAGGCGGTCTTCAAGGCTCAAAAGGCATAGAACCCGAGGCGCAGGTGCTGAGGCCGATGGGAAGAAACGTAATAACGTAATCGGCATCAGCATCATCCCGACGACGACGGCCACCATCGCCCGAACTCCTCCTCTTCACCACGAGCTCGCTCTCAAGCCATCCAGTGGCATCCACGCTTTCCCCCCACTCCGCTACGCTCTAGTCCCCCCGTCCCGCTGCCCTTTATCGCTCTCAACCCGCTCGTCCCCTCCCGCAGTCCCTCAACCCTAGCCACGCCTGCTAGTACAAAGTACTTGGGTATGTACAGTCATCACCCGTCCCTGCCTCCCACCTCTTCACACCTCTTCGCACCCGGAATTGGTGCCGTCGTCCTGGAAAAGTCGCGTACAAGAGGTGGCCAGCGAGAGGATGCAGAAAGTGCGTACCCTAGACAATAACAGCGCTCGCGCGTACTGACCACGTTTCCGCCCTTATCGTGCCCGTCGTCTGCCCCTCCTACAGCCTTCGACCGCTGACACCGCCCGGTCCGCACGCGCCTGCTGCATCCTCCCGTCGCCTTTCCATCCCCACTAACGCCCTCCTCGCCACTTTCCTGCCCTCCCCTCTCCTTGTCTTCGTTCCCCGAACATTCCTCCCCGCGCCCCCATCTCCATCCATCCCCGTACGACAACTCTGGCCGGCGCGGCACCACGAGTCTGCTTGCCCACCGTTCTTGGCAAGCACGCACGCACACGCGGCCGACTGGTTCTCGTCGCACTGCCTTCCCGGCCCGATGTCAGCCCCACGCCGTGTTGTAGTCGAATATCGCTACACCAATACAATTGTTTGCATGCACCTGTGGGATCTTCAACGCCAAGTGCGGACTCGGAGGATATTGGATTTGGATTTGGATCAGGGCGGCCAATTGAAGGGCTTGTGCGAATGGGAGGAAAATCGTGCCCCATGTGTTGGAAAAACCAAGTAAGCCAAGTCAAGTCAAGTCGGGGATTGAATTCACTGCTTACTTCGCCCTCGAGCGCAAGTAAAGTCAGGTACGGAGGGAGATCTGCGGTGGAGGTAAGCAAAATAAAATAAAAACTGAACCGACTCTGACTGAGCGGATAATTTGAATGCAACTCACGATGATACTGAATAGGTTGTCAGTCAAGGTTGAACGAAAATTGAAACCATCCTGACCTGAGTGAATCCAAATCGCGGACGATCCAAGTGAACCTGGACCTCCGTTGAAAGTCCTCGCCGGCCTGTAAAGCATAAGGTCAGTGCGGACTGGACTGGATTTCGCCGCAATATGACGGCGCGTCAAATTTAACGCAGCACAAGTGTAAAGAACGGTTGATAATAACCATCCCAGACACAATATAATATGTGACTGACCGGCTTCTGCTGACGCATGCTGCTTGCTGACTGTTAGACACGATGCTACAACGAGGACTATTAAAGGTCGGTAGAACCGTTTTCCTTCAGGGAGCAAATAGTTTCTTCTGTAGCTATCGTTGCCGGTACTTATCTCCTCTCTCCGGTTCTGCGACTATTAAACACGTCTTCCGGGCTTGGGAACGGTTCGGGGACCGGCGGAGCTACAGCATATGTTTTTCTCCACTTTATGCTCCGTCAACGCTCAGTGGTTGCAGTCGCTTGTTTGCAAAGGAAGGATATGCTGTTGCGCTCATCTCGCGGGGATCAGAGTCTCTCAATGCGCTGGCAAGCTCCATCAAGGAATCTGGCGGACAGGTGCACTATCGTTCGTGCTCGGAACCGTCCTGCTCTAATCTCGTTTCAGGCGAACACTTTCCCCGTGCCACCTTACGGCGCCGACGAAATCGCCGCTGCCTTTTCAGCGATCCACGAGCAGTATCCGTCGTCCGAATACGCCATCAAAGTTGCGATTTTCAACATTGGGCAGACCGTGGGGGGACCATTCCACCAGCTGACGGCCGAGGATATCCGCGAATCGAACAAGATAAACATAGAATCGTCTTTCGCGTTTGCGTGTGGGGCGATTTCGGCCTTCCAGCAGAACGAAGGCACCACGACGGGGAAGGGAACGTTGGTCTTCACAGGGGCGACAGCGAGTGTGAGGGGCAATGTCACGACGAGCGGGTTTGCATCCGCCAAGTTCGCTGTCCGCGGCGCTCGCGGAGAGCTGCAAAGGAGTTCGGCCAGCAAGATATCCATGCGCGTCGGTGCTAGCCTTTCTTTTCCATTTCTGCCTGACATAGCGCGTGCAGCTTGCCAATGTGAGCTGCTGTCCTGTACTTTCTGCTCCGTAATGATATACTTACCCACGAGCCTCCACGCTATTATTGATGGACGTAAGGCAATTGGAGTGTCTCCTCAACCTTTCTAAGATTTTGAGCTAGGTGTTGCGACTGGAAATGTCCGTGGGGATAGAAACACTCCCCCAAGTGGGCCAGTTTAAAATCCTACTCCGGAGTTGAAACTGAGCCCAGAAAGTATCACGGCGGTTGGTGCACTTTATTCCGGCTTTCAACTTGATTGACTGTTTTTTTGCGCAGGCCTATCTTTTTCTCGTGAACCAGGACAGGGCCGCGTGGACCTGGGAGCTCGACCGTCAGTGTTTTTTTCTTCAATTCGAGCTCAAAAATTGAACCCGAGCAGTTCGTCCAGCGCATGAGAAGTGGTAAATATTTGCTTTGTGTAAGCATAGAGTTGTGTGCAGAGATGTGTATGTGTATTGCTTTCGCTGAAATGAATCGCTTTCGCCTTCAGAAAGGAAGAATGCGGTCCATCGGATCAATGGCGCGACTCGCGGCCAGCCATGTCGGTTCTCGAACCGTATATACCGGCCTACAATTACAGACTCGCGATCAGCGTGTCTTATGCCCCGCTCTTTGGACCAAAATTAAACAAGGTTCGAATTCTATTGTTCCTTGTTTGGCTCTTTCCGGGTGAACACGGGTCGACGTTGAAGTTCTGAACCGGGGTCTTCCGCGTCAATATGCGCAACGCTTCAGAGAGAGTAGACACATACCGTATGCCCCAGGGCCTCATCCCTATAGTTTGCCAGCATGTTGGTTGAAATTCGGGACTCACCAACAACGCCGCGGCATGAAATAGATTGGTTGTGCCTCAGTTGGGTATGCACCGAGGACTTTGAAACCTAACTCTGCGGCCAAAAACAAAAAAAAACAAAAAACAAAAAGTGCACCGACGGCTTCGTAAGACCCCGCCCGGATTCGAACCAGGCTCTTCCGCTGAATCGAACTTCCTCAGGCAATCAAGGCCAGCGGACACATAGCGTGTGCTACGGAGTCCTATTTTCTGAGGATAATAGTCTCCCCTTGAGAGATGAAATAAATTCAGTTGGTGGTATGTACTTCAGCGTACTTGAGCTGGTTTTGCTCAGAGGTTGACAGAGCTCTTCGCATACGGCGTGGCTGTAGCTTGTTTCAACGCGACTTGTGTGGAAGAGAAAGAAAAAAGGGTTTCAGACCTAGTCAAGACCCCGCCCGGATTCGAACCAGGTTCTTCCGCTGAATTCTTCTGCGTGATCACCATTAAAGGTAGTGGACGCATACCATACACTACGGAGTCTTGTTGTTTGGGGATCCTTGGAGGTCAGGCTTCCAATAAGATAGAAATGAACCGAGTCAGTGGTCTGCACCGTGGGGATTGAAATATGAGACTCACCACCAACGGCGCGGAAGAAGTAATTGGTTTGGCATCGATCTCAACCTGCATACAACATAACGAACTTTACTTGAGACCTACATCTGTGGCGGGGGAAAAATGCCTACCACCAGCTCAAAACCCCGCCCGGAATCGAACCGGTTCTTCCGCTGAATACTCAGTTAGCAATCAAGGGCAGCGGACGCATGCCATATGCTACGGAGACCTGTTCCCTGAGGACAATTGGACTCGAAGTCTGCAATAAGATAAAATAAATCAGTCGATTGCCGATGAGGTGCGCTGCAATGCGAACCTGCTCCACATGAACTCGGGAGTCGATATTCGCCAAAGGTTCGGAAAGACAACTCTAATATGGGAAGTCCGTACGAAGAGCTTTCTGTGGCAGAAGGGAAAATGCATGAAATCAGCCCCTACGACCCCGCTCGGAATCGAACCGGGCTCCTCCGCTGAATCGAGGTTCTTGAAGCATCAAGGGCGGCGGATGCATACCATATGCTACGGAGTCCTATTCTCTGAGGATAATAGTCTGCACTTGAGAGAGATGAAATAAATTCAGTTGGTGATATGACTGCACCGCGTGGGTCAAAATTTGAGACTCAGTGCCAACACCGTAGCAGAGAAAAAAAAAGTCTTGATACCTGAGCGTGATATAACCTTGAGACCTAACTCTGTGAGAGAAAAATCTGGACGGATCGACGGTCTCAAGACCCCGCCCGGAGTCGAACCGGGCTCTTCCGCTAAATCATTTGGCTGCAGCACCTTGATCAAGGGTAGCGGACGCATACCATATGCTACGGAGTCCTTGATGATGGTCGAACTTGAGGATCTGCTATGACATAGAATAAATTCAATTCCGTCAGTGCTACGATTGAAATTTGGGACTCATTGACGCCAGGGAGAGAAATATTTTGGGTTCATGCTACGGAGTCCTATTCTCTGAGGATAATCGGACTTGAAGATACAATTAATCAGTTGATTGCCAGTGAGGTGCGCTGCAATACGAACCGGATTGTAACTCGAGAGTCGGTATTCGTTAAAGGCGCGCGAAGACAACAGCTCTAGGTTAAAAGTCCGTGCGAGTTGGAACGTAGCTCTGCGTGCAGCAAAAACAAAAGAGAAAATGGCCACGGGGATTTTGAAAGACCCCCGCCCGGATTCGAACCGGGCTCCTCCGCGTGAACGGTTTATCAGCGCAATCAAGGGTAGCGGAGGCATTCCAAATGCCACAGGGTCCGAGTCTTGGTTCTTACATCCTGCGCTTGAGCTACGAATAACAAGCTGCGCTGCGCCAAAAGTACCGTAAGTACTATGTGCCTTGCGGCTCGGATTGAAGCAAGTACCCGCGCCGCCGCCGACGGTGGAGTACGAACCTGCTCCACTGCATGGATTGGAACTCGAGAGTCGATATTTGTAGTTTGAGAAGTCTCTGCGAGTTGGAAGGTAGCTCGGCAGCAAAAAGAACAACCATCAAAATCGCAAAACCACGCCCGGATTCGAACCGGGCTCTTCCGCTGAAGCTTTTCCACTGCAGTCCCAAGGGTAGCGGAGGCATTCTAAATGCCACAGGGTCTTGGTTCCTACATCCTGCGCTGGGCTACGAATAACGAAGCCTGCGCAGCGCCAAAAGTACGTACGCGCCTTGTGATTAAAGCAACTTTGCAAGTACTGCGCCGCCGACGGCTGAGTGATTGCTAGCCGTGTTCCAACTCGGGCGCACATACATAGATGATAGCAGGTCTCCCCCTGACGCAACCTGACGTTGCGCGCAGGAATGAGTAGTAGTGTATGGGTAGTAGTGTATCGAAATTTGACTCACCGCCAAGTTCCAACGCCATGGCAAAGAAAAAAAGCAAAGTTGTCGCCTGCACCTGATATAACACCGAGGATTGCGAGACCTAACTCTGCGAGAGAAAAAGCTGTGTAGCTTTACCCTCAAGACCCTGCCCGGATTCGAACCGGGATGTTCGGCTGAATCGTCTGGCGATAGCCGAAGAGCAGCGGACGCATACCATATGCTACGAAGTCTTGTTCTCCGGGGATCATCGGAAGTGAGGTCTGCTATGAAATAGAAATGAACCCAATTGAAAGATGAGACTCAGTGCCAACGGCGCGGAAGAAAGTAACTGGTTTTGGGTCACGCCGCGCATGGTAGATACAACCCGAACTTCGAGACCTACCTCTGTGGCCCCCCACCCCCCCCCCCCCCCCCCCCCCCCAAAAAAAAAAAAAAAAAAGAAAAGAAAAAAAGGATCCAGTTCGACGCCCAAGAGCCGTCCGGAATCGCGCATTAATATTGTTCGACCGTCTAAGGGAAGCGAATGTATGCCACATGCGACGGGGTCTTGCTCCCTGCGAGGCTAAGAACACAGAAAAAAAGGGCGCGCAAGAGACAGGCATGGGGATCACAGTTGGGAGAGTGAGCAGCGAGGGCGGCTGCCGGCCTGGGCCTGGAATTTGAAGGTGGCGTTCACATCGAAGAGAGGCTTGCAGGCGGAGGCGGCAGGCGGCGGCAGAGGCGGTGGTCGTGGAAGAAGAGTGACGCAAAAACGTAATCAACATCATCGTCATCCCGACGGCGACGGCCACCATCGCCCAAACTCCTCCTCAAGCCCATCCACCGACTCATTCTTAGCCACCCTCTCCTTGCTCTTCCTTCAAGTCTTTCTCTTCCCCGTCGCCGAACCGCGCCAGCAGCCACTCGACTCCCGTACCCGCTTTTCCCCAGTTCGCTCCGCTCTAGCCCCCCGTCCCGCTGCCCTTTGTCGCTCTCAATGCGCTCGTCCCCGCCCGCAGTACCTCGACTCTAACTAAGCCCGCTTCGACGCCCAAGAACGACACACAGTTAATACCCGTCCCTACCCTCGCCGCTCATACCTCTTCGCACCCCGCCCGCACCCGAAATTACCGCCGTCCTGGAAAAGTCACGTACAACGTATGGTCAGCGATAGGATGCGGAAAAAGAGGTCCCAGGTGCGTACCCTAGGCAATAACAGCTCGCGCGTACTGACCCCGTTCCCGCCGTTGTTGCGCCCGCCGGCTGGCCTTCCTGCAGCCTTGGCCGACCAGCGGCCCCGCTCTCGTGCTCTCCGCCGCCTTGCCATCCCGCTAATTATAACATCCTCCTCTCCACTTTCCTGCCCACGCCTTCCCCTCGTCTTCGTTCCCTATACATTTTTCCTCCGCGCGCCCCTCATCTCCATCCATCCCGTACGACAACTCCGCCCGGCGCGCACCACGAGTCCGTACTGCTTGCCCGCCGTTGTCGGCAAGCGCGCGGAGATCGCGCCAACTCGTTCTCGTCGCGCTGCCTTCCCGGTCCGACGTTCGCCACACGCGGTCTGTTGTAGTCGAATAGCGTTACAACAAGCAATATAATTGTTTGCATGCAGCTGTGGGATCGTTAACGCGGACTCGGATGATATTGGATTTGCATTCAAGTTGATTCCAAGGGCTTGTGCGAATGGGAGGAAAGTCGTGCGGTCTGCGTCTGTGTGGAAAAGACCAGGTCAAGTCGTGGATGATTGAATTCAAATTTCCTGCTTGCTTACTTGCGCGTAGATTCCGCCCTCGCGAGTAAAGTCACGTATAGAGATCTGGAGTGGGTAAGTAAGATAAAGACTAGCCGATAATTTGAATGCAACTCACCAACACTCAATAGGTTAATCAGCCGCTAGCGCTTGAACCAACCCGTAGCGCCGCCGACTCGGAGTATTGAACGAAAAGCCTGGGTGAACGAAATGAAGGTCACTAAGTACGTAGCTGAATGGCATGAAATTGAAATTGAATGCGTACCTGGGGCGAATAGGTCCGCGCCGGCTCGAATGTCGTTGTGAATGGGGTTGAAGTTGCGGCGCACGCTCCAGAACTACTGTACCGAGTTGTAGGGAGGCAACGGTCACGGTAACGGACCGTCCGTTGCGTTGCCTATTTTGCGGCGGGTCACGGTAACGGTGAGGGCCGTTGCCTGAAAAAGATCGTGACATGCAGAGAAAAAATTGGGAAAAAATTGGAAAAAAATCTCGGGGCACTGGAAGTGAAGGAAAATGGCAATAAAAGTAGCAGGAGATATCTCCGAGTCTAAGATGTGCCAATGCGAGCCTTCAAAGTCAAATAACCTGTCTCAAAGGTATGGCCCCGTTGCCTCCTTAAGCAACGGTCACGACTCACGGTCCCGCCGTTGCCTAAAAAATAGGCAACGGGTTGGTCACGGTCCTCGGGCCGTTGCCTCCCTACAACTCGGTACAGTAGCAAGTTGGGGATCCAGGTCAGGAACGTGAACGAAACCGAGTGAGGACTCACGGTGATGCAGTTGCCACAGGTAGGCTGACGTCGAACTGAATCTGAAAGACAAAGAAATCAACGCGGGACTCGCCAATGTGAGTAGTATACTCGAACCGGTCATTGATTACCGTCAGCTCGAACGAATCCTTTAACAAGCCACACTACGGCTGATTAAGCTAATCTTACTTCAGGCCACCATACGCATATGATGGGAACTCGAGGGAGGGCGGACGAGATGCCCGAGATGCCCGATGCCCGATTGGAAACTCTGCTGGGAATTAGTGGATGGGGGTACGTACCTGGTCATCATCGCCTGCTCGCCATCGAATAAACGCCATGGGGTCTTGAGTTGTCTTGAGTTGTACTTGGACATCGAAGGTCATTGAAAATATATTACAGATGCAATCAACACCTCGAGTCAAACCAAACCGGCGTGGGTCGTTGGGCAAGTTGAATGGGAGGTTGAGTACTGTGTCTGATGAACGAGCGAACGAACGAATGCATGTGGTATATGGTGCGTAATCACATATCAGTATACATACCATCGCCCCAAAGGTGAGTTATCGAGGCACGTTCAGTAAAATAACCTTATACCAGGCTTTACACGCGCGTACTCAATAACA